TAATCGCTTGTTTTTAAATTTTAAAAATTTATAAAATTATTATAAAATTTTTAAATACATTTATAAAAATGAATAGTAATCGAATGGTTATAAAAATAGCAATGCAATCAGAGTAATTATAATTTGGACAATTTGAATGAGGACAATATGAGACAATATTAATAATAAATAAATAAATAAATAAATAAATACAATAAATACAATAAATACAATAAATACAAAGACAATAAATACAAAGAGTTTTGGGTGTCTGGGTACCTTTTGTGGGCAGCACAAGCCCAAAAAAGGACACAATTAACAGAGGATTAACCCTTAAAAACAAACAGCTCATCCATGATGCTTAAATTCCATTTAAACACAGGATTCTGCCTGGTCACCATCAACTTCTTCCTCTTAATCCTAACAGTGCCTTCAAACCATGAACAATTTAATTTCTCCTGATAATGGAGCAATAAATTCTTTTTCTCTGAAAGATTCAGGTGTCCTGTGGCTGCTATGTGAGTCCTTTCTTTAAATAAACTATCCTACATGGCACAGTTTCTATTTTCACATTTTTTATAACCTAAAACTATATTTAACACAGTACTTAAGAGAATTAATACAGCATTACTTCCTAACACAACACATATAATATTCATTTTAATACTTAACATCATAAAATACCTGTATTTTTCACAGGCTAATGTGAAAAATAAATATATTTATTTGTTTATGTGAAAAATAAAAATATTCCAACATAAATATTGGAATCCCAGCCTGACCACAGACTGTGGATATTTATTGTTTTATAACAAATACAGCCTTGCTTTGATCCTTAAAAAAAAAATAAATTTGGAATGATCACTTTGGGGTTAATCTCAAAATAAACAGTGAAAAGCAACTTAAGGGAGTCAGAACCATTTTTAATTTGCTTTCATCATTGTCTCTTGTGAGCGTGCAATCACTGAATTATTGTGTCAGATTTAATGAGTTAATAAAGGGGAAACTGCCTTTCCTGAAAGTGGAAGTCTTTAACAGATATTAAAATTGCAGAGTGAAATTAATTAAGTGGTAATGCTATCAGCAGAGTGTTTTCCAAGGCAATTAGAAAATTCTCTGGTGGCTTCTTTATCCCAAGGAAAGAAAAGTGATGCCATCCATTTTATGGGCTGGTTTATTAGGGAATAATAAAGTGTAATAAAGTGTAATAATAAAGTGTATTGTGGACATTAAAAGCATCTGAAAGAACACATCCCTCATATGAGTGTTAATAAAATCTCTTGGATCCTGAATTAACTCTGTGTAAATAACCTGGGTGTTGTAGTTTTGCTAACAGAACCCTTTATATTTGAATAAAATTCCATTGGAGAACTTTTAGCTTTTCAAAGTGAATAAAATTGCATATTTGAATAAAATTTTATATTTATATTTGAATAAAATTCCATTGGAAAACTTTTAGCTTTTCCAAGTGAGGCCTCCTGCTTTTCCTGAAGCACAGCTTGGGGTTTGTCTGCAGTTTTTGGCTTTTAATAAACTGGGCCTGACCTTAAATATTTTAGTTCCAGAAAGCAGAATCTGATCTGGATTACATTCAGCGCAGAGTGGAGTTTGAAATCATGAAAAATCTTCCTGAGGATACAGCAGCAGAGGTATTTCCAGATGAAATTCCATTTTATTGCATGAAGTTGGGCATAAATG